TTTTCATACTTAAACCCATTGGAATTAGTAGGTATTCAAAGTGTGTATACATTTTGGGGGGACACCCTGTATTTCTCTATTCAGTGATGAAAGGAACCAACGGCAGGTTTGGAACCCCCAGACTGGGAACCTCGCTCACTCCCCACATGTCTCCCCATTCTGCTTTCCACCTTAGCGGGCAGTGGGAGAATCAATGTTTTCTCTCATTAACTTGGAAAAGCATGTCCTGTCCCCTGCTGCCTGGCAGGAGTGCGCTAGGCCCCGAGCGAGCAAGGCTCAGTAGGGTGGCCTTCACTCATGGATGCCAGCACCCTGAGTGCACATTCTTCCTCTGCAGTTGCTCCGACCCTCCCGCCGTTTCACTGAGAGGACAGACCTCCTCACATCCTCTGGGTTCCCGACCTCAAATGCTGACCGAAGGCACCTCAGCGAGGGCTGCCCCACGCCCACCAGGTGTGTCTGTCTGCACCTGCTCCTGCCTCAGCACCTGCATTAGCCCCATGGAGGTGATCTTGTCGCTGCACTGGCCTCCACGGGAACAGGGCATCACCACTCTGCCCTCTCACTGACATCTCACAGCCGCCTACCCTGAGCACCCAGACACGCTCCAAAGGAGGTGAGTTTGCCGGAGGGGACATGTGCACGTTGTGTCAGGGATGTAGGCACGCCGGGGTTGACAGAAGTGCGGCGGAGGGGCAGGGGGAACATGCGCGCGCCGTGGTCTGGGACTGTTGCAGGCACGCGTGGGTGACAGCATTCTGAGGGACGTTCGCACGCAAGGTGAGGGGATAGGATGCGTGCACCAGAGACCTGCGCAGATCTGTAAACCCGTGCTGGCCTGCCACCCTGGCCGTCCCTGTGATCGCACACCTTCTGGGCCAGGAGGCGGGACTGGCGCAGCCACTCCTGGGCACTGATGGCCCGCAGGTGCTGCTTCAGCTTGGCCCGCAGGCTCTGCTTGGTGCTGCTCACAGCTGCTGCCACCATGTTGGGAGTACAGGCCACCCTCTGCTGGGCCCCGCCTCCCCCGTCCCCACTGGGCCAGGCCTGCGGACCCACAGCCAGGGCCGCCACGGCCCCGTCCCCATCCCCAATGCCGCAAGTCCCCGCCCATCCGTGCCTGCTGCTCACGCAGCCTGCTGATTGGTCGTTACTGTGACAGCATCCGACCAATTTGCATATTGCCCTATTATTAGTATAGATGAGTCTTCTCCCAGACAGGTACCATCCTGCTATATATTGAAGAACCCATGTTCACAAATATTTTTTAAGTAATAGAAGTAGGAAAAATTTCCTCTATTATATTTCACTACTTTGCAAAAAAACATAATTTAATATTGTAAAAATTATTTTTATAAACATTTGTATAATTCTTAAGGAATACACTCTAAAAATATTCCTCAAATTAACCATTTGTTGCTCCATTATACCAATCATTATCCATACAAGCCATTCCACCATCAAGGTGCTTAATAATTAACAATAATGATAAAGTTCAAATATTAAAGAGGCTATTATAATAGGTTAAATGTGTTATTGTCATAGGCTATATTTTTCAAAATACTTGACAGTTAAAATTGGTCAGATGCAATTGAGCAATCGATCATAGATTCTCCATCTCAGCAGTAGATCCTGGAAGTGGAGGCTTCCTCTAGGCAAGCTTTGACAAAAGACACTTATGAAAGTGGTTTCTTAATTCCTCTTTGATTTCTTCAATACTGTTTAAAATATCAGCTAGGTTGCCTGTTCTCAATCAAGTTAAAATGCAATTTAAAATATCTGATAGGTGGTTTCTGGAATTTATCATGTAAACAAAGGAAAAGAAAAAATATGGGTATATTCTTATAGTAAACTAGAGGCCTGGTGCACAAAATTCATGCACTTGGGCAGGGGGGAATCCCTGAGCCCGGCCTGCGCCCTCTCGTAGTCCGGGACCCCTCGCTCCTTACCACCCGCCTGCTCGCTCCTTACCACTCGGCTTACTGTTCCTTAGCACTGCTGCAGAGGAGGGAGAGGCTCCTGCCACCACCACCGTGCTCACCAGCTGTGAGCCCGGCTTCTAGCTGAGCAGCGCTCCCCCTTTGGGAGCGCACTGACCACCAGGGGGCAGCTCCTGCATTGAGTGTCTGCCCCCTGGTGGTCAGTGCATATCATAGCGACTGGTTGTTCCAGTCGTTCTGCTGTAATGGTTGCTTAAGCTTTTATTATATAGATAACTTCCTTAAATCTAAATACATGCAATAGGTCATATGCTGAGATTCATTATTCTCTAAACTCAGTAGGGATGTAATTAAATGCTAAGAAATGGAAAGCACTTTACAGTTTTATAACACTGAACTGTTTTTACTATCATAATAAGTGAGGCACATGCCTATTTAGTTTATTAACTAAATGTGTGCCATAGTTTATTAACTCACCAAATACATCTAACTTCCCTTCAAAATAAGACATCAGCAACAAATGAAGTGCCGTTAATTTCTATGAAAAACTTTTAAAGAAATTGTTTCAAGAACAAGCAGCCTGGATCCCACTGAGGCCCTTAGGGGTTTCCGGTACTCTGGAAGGTACACATGTAGTTTATTTTATTTTATTTTTTGAGCTTTGTTTTTAAAATATCTTTATTGATATCTTTATTGTTGAAAGTATTCCATATGTCTCCCTTTTCCCCCCATTAACCTCTTCCAACCCACCCCCACGCCCCCATGGTACACATGTAGTTTTAGAACCATGTATTTAAGGATAATATTACTCTTAATCCTTCAAATGAATAGCTTGTCACACAACCATCCCTTATACAAGATACGTGGCTCCATATACAACAGTCCTGATTTCCAATGTTTTGTCCTATATATCCAGTGTTTGGTTTAGTGATTGTGGCCATTATAGTTACATTTTAAAACATGATCTAACATATCCTAAGGATAACTGACAACTGAAAAGCCTTGAATCAGCACTGGTACTAGAGTAATCTCTTCTAGGTCTGCCCCCAGATGCTTCCACAGGCATGGCATTTCTTTGTCTTTGATCTTCACCTCTTTTCATTGCTTCCACCTTCCTCCCATCACCTGCTAGGGAATTCAAACCTTTTGGGGACTTCTTACTTGTTTCAATGTTTATATTCACCAGACCCATAATTATAGTTTATGTCTATAGTACCAATGATAATTTCAAAGCCATTTACAAATACAATATTTTGATCCTCAAAATAACTGAGGAAACTGAGGCATAAGGAGGCACATGCATCACCTGAAGTTGTGTCAAGAGGATCTGCCTCATGACTGAATCCGAGTCTCACTTTACCCCATTACTGCCTCATCATTTCTTGGTCTTTGGGTTAGACTTACATTGGAAATTCTTTCCCACCAGTTGTGTGATTTTTAAATATGTTGGTTAGACTATTTGAATTTTAGCTTTTTGGTTGGTAAATGGGGTTAACAATCCCTATTTCATAGGGTATTTTGAATATTAAATGAAATAATGTTTGCAAAGTAAAAAAGAACACCCCAATGAACCTAGAATAAGATAAGCATTCAAAAATGTTAGTTCTTCCCATCCCTTCTCATGGAAATATTTTACCTGAAGGTAGTTTCTTTAGGTCCACAGAGGATTTCTAAAGCTGCTCTGTAATTAAGCAGTGGGCCAGAAGGGCAGAGTATACTTAATGTATCAGCAGGGTGACAAAATTTAATTTAACCAAGGATTTATCAATCATCTACTACATCCCGGCACAGTGCTAAGTGCTACAGATGCACTAATGAAGCAGCAGCGGCCAAGGAATTTTGGCAGCGACAAGAACAAGACTTGATGATTTCCTAGAAAATGAAGAGATTCCAAGAAGGCTAGTCTGCCAAGTTTAACAGAGCTCTTGGTAAATTCTCCAAAATAATTTAAAATAGAATAAAATGATTTAAAAATTTATAAATTTTGGAGTTTACTCTTTGATGGCAAGTGAATATATTTTATTCACTTGCTAGTAATATTCACCACCTCTCAGGGCCACAGGGCTCCTGTTTGTAGAACGGTGATAACGGTATTTTATAGCATTATGAGAAAACTAAGATGGAATATTACTGTGTATACAGAAGTAACTAGGTAATGATTTTTTGAGTGTTTTATATGTATTAGATATTCTAAGCCTTTTAAAATTTGTTAGCTCATTTAAGCTTTGCAACAACTCAAGGAGATGGATGGAATTACTACTCCTATTTTAGAGATGTAGACATTAAAGCACAGAAAGTTTTTTTTTTTCCCCAAAAAACCTTGACCAGAGCACCCAGCTGAGCGGGAACTCAGACTTAGGCAGTGCGGCTTCAGACCCTGTGTCCTTTACCCCTGCCCTCTGCTGCCTCACTTCATCATCACAGCTCATGGCATGCCCTTTTCTGCTGCTCTGGAATCCGGCATACAAAAATGTGGCAGATCCTGCCTTTCCAGAAATAAACAGTGGCACTGAGGACACAGGACATGGGCATAACGAGAAAAAAAGCAGTATGTGGATCACGTTGTCAAATGCCAGAGAAAGGGTGTAACTACACGTTCTATAGAAGTTTGGACCAAAGCAAATATTGGGGATGGAGAAAGCAGCAAGAATTTGTAGTGGAGGTAGAACTTGACTTAGGTCTTGGAGGGAAACCAGAACTAAACCAGCCCAGAGGAATTGGGAGTTACTTCGGATGGTCAGAGCATGGGGAGAGCAAGGACACAGACTTGGGGTTCAGTGTCCGTGGGCGGAAGGTTTCTACATGGGAACACCGAGGCTAGAGAGCAGGAGGCAGTTTAAGTCACTTTGCAGGATGATTTCAAAGCCCAAGAGAAAAAAGAGGACTTGCTGCTGCAGGGCTGCCAGGGTGTCGGGGTGTCTGAGTGGCCTTGTGCGCGTGCTCACATACGCCAGGCCGCCACATGGGCTTTCAAAAGGCTGATGGGCCGGCGGGGGGGGGGGGGGGGGGGGGGGGGGGGTGTTACACGCAGAAGCACACAGAAGTCTTCAATGCACATACCTACATTCAGACACTTCCCGGTTGTTCCAGCGATGATTATCTGGTGGGTGGATATTCCATGGCCTCTCCTTCCCTACGGCCTGTCTTTTGGGCTTGTTCCCTGCTTGTCAGCACCTGAGGGCAGAGGCAGAGACAACGTGAGTTTCCAATGAGGCGTTTCCCCTCCCCTTCTTCTTAGTAGCTGTGGTTAAAAATTTGCTTTGGGAAGGAGAGATATATTGTGGATGATCAGAATATTTCTTTTTTTAAATGGTACTTCCAGTTTCTTTAGTAAACAATTTGCTGATGAAGAGCAGAGCTCACATTTGAGCCTAACCCTGGATTATGTAATTGTTAATTCCCTTTCATCAGAGACATACTCCTACGTACTTTCAGATAATGTTCTTGTAGCAGGACCTTGGATCTGCTGATCTTTTTAGGCGAGAGTGGTTAAATGTACTCTCCTTAAAATTGCTAATATCGCGTGCCTCCAGACGGACCTTTTTATAGGATGATATTATCCATATCAATCATTCTTACCTTTGCTACTACTTGAATATATTAAACAATTGCTGCTGCTTCCTAAATTGAATAGATTATCAGAAGACCCGAGTAATTCTCTAGCTGCAAAGTACATATTTGGCTCTAAAATTAAAGTGTTGGATAGATAGATAGAAAAAGAAAGAGACGGGGAAAATAAAACAGATTGCAATGAAACAAATTTGCAATGCCAAACTTTTTTTTTTAAAAGTAGGATTTCATTATTTCAGGCTATTATTAAGAATGTATATGATATTGAATAGATTGTAGGAGCCCAGTTCCAATATACTGTTATCACTAGTATATATTTGAATATAGTAGATGTAAAAATTATTCTAGTCCAAAATGGCCAGAATACATACCTTGAATACTCATATTTTAACTTGGGTCTCTTGTGTGCAAATATATTTAGGGTGTAAAGCAAACACACACACACACACACACACACACACACACACCCTCTTAAGAAGAGGAAAGACCTTAAAAACTTATATACTTGGTTAATAACCAGCTATCAAATCTGTTGTTCTCCTCTTTGGGTCATACTGCATTACATTATTTCCAGTTCTTCCACTTGAATCCTTGTCAGCTCTTCACCTCACAATCCCAACATTGCCCAAATACTTCTAGAGAAATCAGAGAATGAGTAGAAATAAGTGCCTCCATTTAATTCAGGACATGGCACACATCAGTAGTGCCCACCTGTAAACTGGCTCCATTGCTCATGAGAATGTCCGGGCATGTTCATAGGCCTGTTGACCGCAACATAAAATAAAGCAAAGCCTCAACTACTCTGCTTCTGAATTTTTTTTTTTTGATAAACTAGAATTATTTCTAAAGTTCTCAAATAAACAGAAATCATTATAATTATGAATAATTAAAACGCTAAACTCAAGAGGGCACTCAACATTTATTACACTATAGAATTCATCCCCTAAGGGTAGTACCTTCAATTAGTTCAGTTTTACAACACAAGAAAAAATGTGACAATCACTAATTAAAGGTGTTTAGTACAAGGAGCAAAACAAGCTACCTTGCCTTTAAATCACCCTTTTCCACCCAGAAAGGCACTGCTCACTTTTAGATTCTTAACATTTGTACTAATTCCAGGCCACAGAAAAGCAATAGATAATAGGAAAACATTTATTTTTTAATTTGCAAACATTGATTAAGCACCTGCCATGTGTCAGGGTTTATGTTAAATGAATAACATTCCAGTATAAGAACTAGCTAATGGTTATTTTTAAACATATAGAAACATATATACAAATTTGACTATATCAATATATTTGTATATTCTTACAAATATAAAGTTTGGAGTATATATCTATAATTTATAAAATGAAGCTATTCAGTTGTTTTCCTCATTATTCTTTTATTTATTTATTTATTTATTTTTATTCTTTTAAAAAAAATATTATAATAAGTATTACAAAGGGTATTATGTGTCCTT